ACCTTCACACACCCTCACACACTGACACGCCCTCATGCACTCTTGCGCCCTCACACACTCACACACACGCCCTCACACACTCACTCACACGGCCTCACACACTCACTCACACGGCCTCACACACTCACGCGCCGCCAGCTTTCCTGGGGAGGGCAGCAGCAGACCGGCAGGGCACACCCGCCCTGTGCCACGGGCCCATGAGCGCTGCCCGGACACAGGCTCGTGCTTCTGTGGCCGAGCGTGGGCCGCCGGCCTGGGGCAGGGTGGGCAGGGGCCGTGCAGACGGGCGAAACCACCCACGTCAAAGAGCTGTTGGATTCTCCAGTGACGACGGCACCCAGGGCGGCACTGGCCAACCATCTGTGCCAGCTGCGGGGCTGCTCTGGGGCATCCATTCTGGCTGCCTGGCCCTGCCGACCCGGGCGACGCCGGCCACGCCGCGTGAGGGGTGGTAGGAGCCGTGTGGCCTTCGCCACTGGCCAGAGAGAAGGGCTGCTCCTCGCAGGGGGGTCGACCCGCCTAGGGGACGCGGCTCGTGCAGGGGACGGGAGGCCGTGGGCACGCCGGCTCCACGTAGGAAGTTGGGGACCACAGGCGTGGACAGAGGAGGACGCTCTCAAGACGAGAGCTGCGGTGTGGACAATGTGCGCTGACCGCAAGGTGGAGTGGCCATGTGGCGCAGTAGGTAGCATGGGGTGGCCGGTGCTGGGCCCCGGGATGCGGGCGGGGGACAGGCTGCTGGGGCGCCCGGAGCCCATGCCGGCCTCTTCCCAGCCCTGACACAGAGCGACGTGTCTGGTCGGAGGCCTGGGGGCCAGGGGGGCCGCGGGCAGCTCCCGGAGAAGACACAGGCACCTGGTGACCGGCAGGTGCTGGCGCGTGGGCGGGGCAAAGGGCAGGACGCGACGCGGGTGGAGACGCCGGGGGCCCGCTGACGGCGGGGACGCTCACCCCGGAGGCGCTCGAGTGCTTGAAGGGTCTCAGCCACGCGGGCACTTGAAGTGGGTGCGCCAGGGCGGGGTGCGGGCAGCACAGGCCTGAGGATGCCGGACACGGAGCGGCCACGAGCCCCGTCCCGCCCGGCGGCTCTGAAGAATGCTAGGCGTGGAAGGGACACCGGCGGCGGCCACCGGCCATCGCAGCCCCGCCCAGGAGGCTGAGCACGGGGGCCGCCGAGACCCCACAGGCCTCGATGGGACGCGCACCGGCCTCGTCACCTCCTCCCACCCACCTCTGTCTTCATCGTGAGGCGCGTGCAAGGCGCCTCGCTCCGCACCCGCCACAAGCCCACGTCGGCGACACGGGGGGTGGGGTGCGGTGTCAGGCGGACGCCAGCCGTGAGGAGAAGGCACGTGCAGACGGCTCACCACGCGGGCACACGCCAAATCCCAGCCCGAGAAATCTGACTGTAAACTGGGAGGGGGGGGTGCGCACAGCAAAGGGGTGCCCTAGGGGCTGCACGAGGACTGGGGTGTCTGGTCTGGTCTGGTGGGTGCAGCGGGGAACAGCCCTGTGCAGGGATCTGACCCTGCCCCCCAAGCACTCGCTGTCGCAAACCGACGCCAGCTCATTACAGACGAAGTGAAAGTACTTGTGGCAAATTTTTAAGCTCAAGACGCAGCAAACAGCGACGAGACCAGGGCAGAGAAAGGGATGCGCAGATGGCGTCACAGACAGTGCCACAGACGAGGCCACAGACAGCACCACAGACGGCGCCACAGAC